TGATATTGTCTAAAGGATTTTTCACGTCTTCATTTACCTATTGTATTTCGAGTATTTTGTAAGATATTTATTTAAAATTTGGTATATTGCTTCAACTTAAGAGTCACATCGTTTGAAAATAAATAAATAAATAAATAAAAATTATTTGTCAGATATCCAAAATAGAGGGGTCCAGTCAGTATCCATTCATTTTTAATTATTTTGTCTCTTAACAAATTTGGAGAAAATTCTTCGTTTTAGAGAAGAGTTGAAAAATATTGATGCCTACGCGGCTTACGGTAATCTCATAATTTTCAAATACTAAAACTAAACAATTTATTCAAATTTTGCAACAGGTATAAAAATATCAAATAGCCAAAAAAAAAAAAATATTTCTAAAGTCAATGGCGCCCAGACAAAAAATTGGTAGGCGCAATGGATTCAACAATCTACAATTATTTATAAATTGGAAGCAATATAACAAGATAACAAATTTAATACACCTTATCTTCTTAAAATTATTCCTAATTAGTAACAAGAAAACAGTAGAAATAAAAAACCGCTGCCAACTACTTGGGGATCAGAACTTCCTCACCGTAGTAAAACTCGGTGTGGTGGAGTTTATAATAAAAGTAATTTTTGACGTTTCAAAAAGTCACATTTTTTGACGTTTCAAAAAAGTCACATTTTGACGTTTCAAAAACTCACGTTGGTGGAATGTCACTAATATTTTTTTTTAGACATTCAGACCGATTTTGCTCATCAACGAACTCAATCTCTTCCTTGACCTCTAGAATGTGTGTACCAAATTTGAAAGCTTTATCTCAAAAACTGTAGCTGCTATCGCGAACCACACAGACAGAAAATTTTTTGTCTGAAATTTTGTGTATCGTCATAATTCGTCGAGATTCGTCCAGAAATGCAATAAAAATTTTCAAATGTTTTTCACGAATACATAACTTCCTCACATTGAGGGGGGGAAGTAAAATAGCCAGTCTACAGAAATTGTTCGATATAACCTCCATGTTTTTGTAAACACATACGAGCTATCTTTATTATAGAAAACCTTAGACTTTGAAAAATATTTGGCTTCAACCTGAACTGCCCTCCAGCTTGAAGGATTCTTTCTCTTAAATGATTTTCGCTCAAAATCGGAACCATATATACAAAAACTTTCATTAATCCCCAGACTGACTAGTCCAAGGGAGTAAGGTCTGGGGAACGTGGTGGCCACTGGACAGGTGCATCTCGACCACGACCAATCTAGCGATCAGGAAAGATTTGATTCAAATAGTTTCTATCATTTCTAGCAAAATGAGGAGCACCGTCTAGTTGAAACCAAATATTTTGTCTTATATGTAAAGGCAATTCATTTAGTAAATCGGGCAGTGTGTTGGAATAAATTGCAAAAATTAATGACCAGTCAAGTTTCCTGGTAAAAATACAGGACCCAAAAGAAAATTATCTACGACAATTGCCCACAAATTGACTTTAAAGTTTACTTGATGATGCGTCTCTACTATGGCTTTAGGATTTTCTTCAGCCCATGTGTGTGTGTTATGAATATTTGTCGTCCCGTTTCCCGTAAATGTAGCTTCATCAGTAAAAAAATGTATCTGATAAAACGTAGATCTCGGTTATTCATTTCACATAACCATCTACATAATACAAGTCTTGCTTCGAAGTCTTAAGGCAAAAGAGCCTGTACTTTTTAGAGATGATGGAATGGGTACAACTGCTGACTCCGTAAAATAGTGTGTACTTGAGTTTTACCTTTTTTCGACCTGCTTAGCCAACACACTGATACTAATTTTCGGTATTTCATCAACAATTTTTAAAATTTCCTCTTCCTGTTCTTATCGAATCGCACGGAGTCGGCCGCAATTACCCCTCCGCCTTTCCCTTAAATTTCGAGTCACCCTTAGACAGTTAACCTTATTTGAAAAATATTTTCTTTTGGGATGAAATCGATTGGGAAATTTTTCGCCATAGTGCCTAGCAGCTAAACTAGCATTGGAGTCATATTTTCCTAATCGAGAAATAGAAATAAATGTTTACAGTTTACAGACATATTAAAATTTTACCCATGATTAAAATCATATCTGTCATTTCAGAAAAGGGTACAATTCCTTTTCTGCGAGCCATGTCGGTTTTTCTTACTTACAAGAACACTTCCAGCTTATAAAAAAACTTTTAACTTGTAAAAAAATAAGCAATTACTTTAACAGTAAACAAACAATTCTATCGTATCTCGGGTATTGCCATTTATTTACGAAAGCGGACGACTTGATTTAGAGCTATGTGAAAATTATGAGATTACCATAAGCCGCGTAGGCACCAATATTTTCAACTCATCTCTAAAATGAAGCATTTTCTCGAAATTTGTTAAGAGACATAAAATAATCCAAAATGGATGGTTAACTTTAAAAAATAGTTTGGGAATCATTGGCGCAGGTACTAAAAATCTGGGGGAGGGGGTCAGTGGGTACTAGGTCTAGATCTATTTTGAATATTTGACAATTAATTTTTGTCTTTTTAATTTTAAATAAATATCTTACGAAATACTCTAGTAATTTAAAAATATTATTTTTAAACTTCAAACTTTGGCACTGTGTATATCGAACATGAAATGGCATTGTGAAAGTCCTATTTTTGCTCAAGGAATCCATGGCCTCCTTTTTCCGGACACCCTGTATAATCTGTTCAGATTCTGTAATAGTTTGACAAAGATTTTGCTGATGCTTGCTTTTTACACGGTGATAGTTTACCTGTGAGTAATTATGTACACAATTAATTAGGTAATTATTACTCATGTACTAATTTAAACATACAGGGTGTTTCATTTTGTAATTTTTAAAGATCGTGCGTTTTTTATTTTGATAGACAAGAAATAATAATAAAATATAGACAATCCAGTCTCGACTAGATTATTTTTAATAAGATGAAGTTAGAAATTTCATAACATAAAATTTACAATGAGAAAGCCATGTAAAAATTTTTTTAGTTTTGCCGTATACTACATAAACTGAAACTGAATGCCATTCGCGATTCTTAAAGAAGATTACTGTTTTCTACCAACTAAAAAAGCATTATAGTAATAAATTGAATACAAAACTTCCTGAACGACTATATATCTTGAGCATACCATATGTTTTATTTTGAAAGGACATATCATGCATTGTACTAAATAGATTTTATTTATACTTTGATGGACCTGATTCTGCCTGTAAAGACCACATGAATCACACTAAAAGCTAGAAATCAGAGGCATAAGTCTTAGCAAAATTTTGCTTATTGTCATTTTATCCAACAAGTCAAAGGCTGTAGAAGTGAGAGGTACATATGGTTCTATTTTTTTTATTAATTTCATACCAAGATTTTAACAAAAGGTATGCCCCAAAGCACAATATTAGGTTCAGTACGTTTCCTCGTAATAAGAATCTTTTAATTTTCTTAACTATTAATTTGTGTAATTACTAAGATGATTCATAGAGAATTAAAAATTAAAGAAACAGGTGTCTTAGCAAATGGGGTATTTTCATTGACCTGAAATGAAAGTGGAGATGCTTATAATTTGAAAATATATTTTTTTTAAATATTTCTGGTACCGAAAAAATTACATTACATAGTACTATAAAACTGTTATTTCAATTTAAAATATTTTTTTTTATAATTACGTCACTAAGCGCAAACTAGGGAAATCCCAAAAATTTTTTTTGGAACACTGGCAAGATGGTAATTCTGTTGTGATTCCTGTTCTAGCATTTTTGTTTGTGGATTTATTTTAAAACATTCTAAAAGCACACAAAGATGGTAAAAATTATGTAGAACGTAGAGCAGATAATGTCTCTGCTATATTTTTACAATAATAAATAGACAAGAAATGAGGCTACGATCAAATACCAATAATACCTACATTTGGCGCTTTGTGTCGTCACGAAAGTTTGATTTTTTTTTTTTCAGTTTAAATGAAAAGGAAAACAATGAAGAAAAGACACGTGCCTCTTATTTTTATCTCTAGTTTAGTTTAACAATAATGCTACTTAATTAATAATTTGTGCAGGTATAGCAAGCAAATACTGTAGGAAACGGATCACTTTTTACTGTTTTACACTAACCGATGATGATTTTTGTGTTTACAACTAAGTTCAAACTTAGACATCGGATTATTTTTTAGTTTAAGTCCTTACATTCAAAAAGGTGGAAAACAGTCACCGAAACGTTTGTGAAATGTGTTTATGAATAAATAAACAATTTAGAATTTTAGATTAAAAAATTTTTTCAAATCTATAGGAAAGATTTTTTATTATTTGATTGGTAAAAATCGATTGATGTGATCATTTCAGCTTGTGATGAGACTAAGTAAATATGCCTAACAAGAGTTGTCATGTGACATCCAGTATGCCCAAAATAACATTACTTTCTTCAGAAATGGACTTATTTGTTTGATTCGAAAAAGTCATTATGAAAAGTTGTAATCACATCCCGATGTGCAAATTTCTTTCATATATATAAAATACACTCGATAATACATGTTTTTTTTGCTATCTATACTGCAGTATCTTCCATATCCAAAGCCCACAGGCAGCCTGTGGTATTACGATATACAAACCAGCTACCACAATAATACAAAAACATCAAAGATATAAAAATTAGAAAAGTTTTCCTGATTGGGAGATAAATTATTTATTTGTTAATCTATTATTTGGTTGTATCTAAAACATATTAACCTAGTGACAATGTATTTTGGGTTGTCTAAATTATGGAACTAGATAAAAAATTATTAGCAAAACTTTAATTCTTTAACACTAGATATGACAAAAATCAAATCCAATAAATTGACAAATGCAAACAAAAATTCTACAAATTTTAAATTTTCAAAAAAATAATAAGCGTGTAAAAAAGCAAAAAGTCTGAACTGGTAATGAAAATAATTAGGTCTAGTGTTGCACGAACTTCAACAGAGCACTTGACAAGCTCTAATTTTCTGTAAAATGCAAAAATTTCTTTTACTGTCTAGTAGCTTCATGGTCGAGTGGTAGGAAGGACACTTGCCACTCACCCCAGAGTCCCGGGTTCGATCCCCGATCGAGGAGCTAGGATTAATCCTAGCATACTCGGACATTGGGTGTGTGTCTATAGTCTTTGAATGTGTAGCCCTCTCCCACACATGGTACCTTGAGGTAACTTCAGGGATATAGGGGGTTGTATTACCTGTGGTGTTTAATTAATTTAATTAATGTCGTCGTAACTATAATCATTCTGTACACTTTTCTCATTCAAAAAATAAATAAATAAATAAGATTCGTTTTCAGTTATTGCACTTTCACTTAATCTGCCATTTTTTTCTATAAATCGAGTGGCGTCACTAAAATATCCAATGGGTATGATTTATCCTAACCCACCATGTCATCCTTTATAAATCCACTTGTGTCAAGTGCACATGCTTTTCCCTAATCCACCATTTTTTTTCTACATCGAATGATGTCACTATAATTCTCAATGCGCATGATTTTCCCTAATCCGCTATGTTTTTTCTTTAATATCTGGTGACGTCACACACACTCTGGTCATAGATTTCTTGTAGCAGCCTTTGGTCACTGTCCTCAAAAATCACGATGAACCTAATCCATGAACGCTCTCAGTGGCTACATGCCATCCAAGTCACCGGTGCAGAATGCCCTTAACTACTCTACTTACAAATAAGTTTAGTAATTGCAACAATTGAATAAATGTATATTTAAAAAATTCTGTCTTCGTTCCTTATTATCACAAAAAACTAAGTTTTTCAACTGATTTAACTAGGTTTCTTAAAATTATTTTAAATGATCTCTTATAAATTGTAGTGGCGTGCTATGGCACACAAATTTCATTATCGTATCGAGTAGTTAATTGAATGATTTCAATAATCGAATAACGGCTATTCGAATACCTTTAATAATCGAAAGATTATTCGAAGTGTGGTTCGAGCTCGAGAAGTGGGGAAATCGACATCGATGACTTGGCTCGGTGACATTCGGGAACCCGAGTCATAATTCATAATCATAAATAATCGATTTGGCTGGCAGTTGGCTATGTTATTTCTATACAAATCTCAATTATAAATTATAAATTTTAACGTAACTCAATCCGGTTCTGCACTCAAGACAATCCAACTCCGATTAGCATCAACCCATGATATAATAATGTATATTTGTATCATGGCATCAGCCAATATCTACATTCCGCAGATTAGCACAATCAAAACGCCGCCGACGGCAAACAACTAAACTTAACAATCTTAACATGCGTTCAAGTGCACTGGTACTCGTATCGTATCCCATCGCTCGAATCACGTAATTGAAATTTGAATGATAAGCCGCTGAAATGAATGACGATTATTCAATCGGGGCGGCAGTCGGCGGCACCACTCTCCGAGAACTTAATCATTCGAATTCTCATGACAAGAGAATTCAAGATATCTTAAGATATTTCAATAATCGAATGATCGATTATTTTTTATTCGGATTATCCCAGCACTAGTATCAAGTGACTCCTTGCAAAGCATTAAATAGAATTTTAGAACAGAATATAAGTAAGAAAGTGTTTTCAAGGTGACAATGCAATTTGTGTGATACAGATTCATAGATCTTAATGTCGAATATAAATCTAATACATGCACTTTGCACATGTTGTATTCTTAACCGATCACAGATATCTAAATAGTTAAAAATGACGTAAAATTAGAGAATTCTATAAACATTTTTTTGTCCTTTATATTACAATAAGCTCTTTTTTATGTATTTAATACGATCACCAAATTTTAAAGTGTGATCCGTTTGCATCCGTAAGTTTTTTGTGACACCGATAACATAAAGGTTCATTATTGATGGATACCTTTAAATTAATTAGACACCGTTCACATTAAATTTTTTCCAAATTACATAACAGATTTATTGATAAACTGAAGTATGCAGTAATGACTAATGAGTATAAGTTTGCATTAATTATTTGACCAGCGTCGTCAACACACTTGGGTATCATCTGTAATAATGGATTTAAAAAAATCATATATGAGTAAAATTTGACAGCATGAATTGTAAATAATAAAGGACCTAATATGAATCCCTGTGGCACCCCACTTTTAACCTCTCGGCTCACAGCCAGCTAAATAATTATTTAACAACTCTACAGCATCAGCTCCAAAACCGGTAGTGAAGAACAGCTAATAATAATCGATGATTGATCAAATTATAAGTCTTAAAGTAATCTAATAATACACGCGTTGTTGATTTTTTTAAAATCACCCCTCTGTTCAAATGTTCAGATTCGGCAAACAATTTCTAGACCTGAAGTTTGTACAAGTCGGAATAAACGTTTAGCTTGGGCACATGACAAACCAACGTCCTTACTGAAACAATACTGTTGAATGTTTTATTCACACGTATACTTACACACCATGGTTGGTAGTAAATAAAAAAAATTTAAAAAATCTAAATATCTAATTCCCAGTTACGTTTGTTTACACTTAATTCTGTCATCGTATCATAATATTGTCTCATCTGAAATTGGCACGCAAACATTATACGCCAGACTGAATGTTTAAGCAGTTTGCATAATCACTTCCCAGCAAAATAATTTGTTTGACAAATTTATTTTCTTGTGTAAAATTGATTTTGCCATTCAAATACATTTTAATAAAAAAGTTGTAACGATGTTCCGTCACAAATGTATGCAGTCGGTGCTTTAATCAAGGTTACTAAAAACAAATTGACAATGAACTGGCGAGACAATATAACGCATAATCATGCAAATGAATAATAAGGCACAAAAGACACACGCATCGATATATACAGGGTGTTTGGTGAATCACACAATAATATGGTACTCAATAAACAAACTTTCAGTTGCAATTAATTTGTTGACATGTCTACGTAGTAAGTAATTACGAGTATAAGTGGCCTTAATAAATTGAAAATACACACATGGAAAAAAGTTAAGGATATTTGTCAAATATGAACCCCTTTTATGTGAAAAGGGCGTAAAATATTATACGTCACTGTATAGTTTGTACGAAGTCAATTGAAATCGTATAAAAACTAAAAGCCTGCAAAAACCGTCGGCATCTCTTTATTGTACATGGGCGGAGGTAAATAGAAATGCTTGTCATAAGAAAATGTTATACTTGTTTGAAACTTGTATTAATTTTTATTATTTTTTGTTTATTAGATAGGCTATTTTTGTTCATTTCGCCAATAAAATATTTTTGAAATATTATATCAGTTTTAGATATAAAGTCTAAATATTTAAATTTATTGGGTTTAGTTTTAAAGTTAACCCATACTATATTGAAATATGTTATTGCTCTGCAAGGACCAACGAGAAGGTATGAACATATCCTTGCCAGGACGAGGGAATGGGACAGGTTAGATTAGCGAGGGGGCAAGGATATAGTAAAAAATAAAATAAAAGTTTCTTCTAAAATAAAAATAAAAATGTAAGTTTCTTAACCAAAGCAAAGAATTAGTACCACAAAAATAAATATTTGTTTAGATAAAACATAAAATATGTCTCTAGAATAAAGTAACATAAATTAAAAATTTCTTGTCAACTAAATAAAATATATTCCAAGAAATGTAACAATAAAAAAGTCAACTTCATACCTAATATAATATCTAAATATTTTGTTCTGAAAATATATGTATATTAAAAAAGTTAAAGGCTAAAAGTTGACGCGTCCGAATCTTCACTTTCTGAAGAGGAATCATTACCAGGTTGAATTATAATCGGCGCATCTAGATACACTATATGCCTGTTTAGTTTACGATATTCTCTGATTTTTTCCAAATAATCTACCCGAAGTGCTACTATACGTCGTGATTCCATAATTACCATACGACTGTCAAGTTTTTTATGTTTAAAACAGCATTCTAATAAAACATTTCGTAGTGTATCTAAAGAACTATAATCATAATCAGGATAATCGCTTAATTTTTCTCGAATCATTTTTAACGTAGGAACTATATTTTTTTTCATACATATTATAAATTATACGCCGTATTACATCTTTGGTAGCATCATCAATATTTTTTAATTTCATATTTTTCCGTTTCCTATTTGTACCGTGATCTATAACATCTCCTTTTTTAATTACACGATAAATTGTTGATTTTGATATTTTAGTTAATTCGTTAATACGTTCTATTATTTCTTTCTCACATTTTTCACGATTTTCGCTTTTTAAACGTTCATATATATTTAAAATAATGCGTTGACTTTGTACGTGTAAATCTTTATTTTGAAACTCTAAATTTATTTCGTCTTCCTCGACAATAACAGGCTCAACTATTTCGGGATTTTCGGGCGTTATTATATTATCTTCTGTTTCAAATGGTCTCCAGAAAGCCATGGTAAATTAGTAAATACCTAATACAATATCTTAAATACCTTTTATGTAGTAATAAATATTTACCAATATGAACACTAAGTATAAACCGAACCACCTTGATATTATAATAGGTATTTCTGCACTGCACTGGACAAATGTAATAAATAAATAGGAAACATCCGAGTCCACGTTGACTCCTGACTGATATAAACTCAAACACCCACCGACCAACCGGATTGACGAATATACTGATCCCAGCCAATCGTCGCCCATCGTCCTCAAAACATAGCCAATGCCGGCACATCTCACAAGTTTCCGTAATTGCGGAGAAACGATTTAATGAGTTTTTTTTATACTAGTGGGCCTGTCCGTTTTATTATCTTTAAAACACGTGCAGTCGTAGATGGTTCGTTCAGGCTGATTACATTGCCAGTCTCGGACTCACCTGCACAATTTCAACTACCATTTGATTCTCGATACCATTGCTAAATACATAGGACAAAATATCAAGTTAAGTGCGCACAGTCCTGTACTTTAACAATGACCAATTTCAATTGACTTCGTATAAACTATACCACACATACAAGTCTATCTAACGAATACAGATTGGTGTGCTTACATGCTGGCATGTGCCAAGTTGATGTTGGAAATGTATTTGGTGTATCCTAAAGTTTGATTAGTAGGTTGAACAGTACGTTTTAGGAAACAGGTTATGTTTTTGAAAGGCCTCGT